TAAACACAGTATTGTTGTTCACCTAAAGACATTTTAATCTGTAGATACGTAAATCAATTCAGAAACATAGGTCATAGGAGGATTTTCTCCATGAGAAAAAATAATCTGAATTATTTTCATAATATTACAAACCTCTTCAATAATTCTAATGTGAAAAACAGAATTGGGGTCAGGTAGGTTATAGTATTCATTTTGTTTGTGTAAAGAAAAACTATACATATGTAGGCTGTTATGACAGGATGGTCACAAGTTAATTTTATAAAATAAATTTTCCCAAGAGCAAAAGAGGTTGTTTTGATCCTCATCAGCAAAATATAATGGTAATAGGATTTAATAACAGAATTTTATTAAAAAGTAACAAAAAAGTGAGGTAGATGCATGTTTTACACATACTACAGATATTTCTGTTGTGTCATCTTTTATACTTACAAATAAACAGACTTAATTTTAAAACTATACTTAGAAATTTAGTAATAGAGTATCACACTCATGGGAAATAGGTACATATTAATACTAATCAACTGTTTGGGTCTCCAATCCTAATATATGGCCCAGGAGGATTTTTAATTTTTTTGAGTCCCCTATTTATATCAAGATAGAAAATGGTGAATGTTGTGATAATAGTCAAACAATCAAAGTCATTCCTGAATAGCAACTCTTAGGTTGCCCTATCTTGATTAGGTAGCAAGGACTCTACGTCACAGTTTTCATAGGGTAAATTGTATTTTACTAAGAGGGGACTTCCTTTTCCCAAATAAAATTATATAATTCTTAAATTTTCATAAATTACCCTAAGTCCAGATAGACTTGTATTTTCTGAGTGAATTAAAAACAAAGACTCCCACTTTTAACTATGTTCAGATTGCACTCCTGTCTTAAACATGAAATTAAATTTCCCGTACTTTATTATTACCAATTTTAATTAAGAGTTTTAAAAATTCTCTGAATTTTCTCTGACTGGACTCAATAATTCTCATGGAAGCAAAGTGAGTGCATATTAAAATCATTCTCTTTACAAAGACAGAGGTTTTTCCCCTTGCTTTGATATTTGTACATCTCTTGGTGGAGCTGCAAGGGAAAACTGCCAAATGGTGTCACCTGCCAGCTGGAGCGATCGTGTGCTCCCTATTAAAGCTGAGGGCCACACTGCTGGTCATCAGCTGAACGTGAGGATAACAGCACGGTGCATGCTTAGTAATAGGATAAACTGCTGTAGCAGTGAGGCCTCCCTGAAAGACCCAGCACATAGATTTTTCTACCCTTTCACACAGTGAGTGCTTGCACGCAGCTGCTTGCTTATCACCCATGCTGTTCGAGGTGGCGAAATATGGTGGAAATTCACGGCATGATCCCAAAATCTATCCCAAGAGAAAACTCTACATTGCTTTATAAAGCAGGATAAAAGCTACAGGATTGACAGGATTGATTTAGGCAATTATTTTCATCAAAGGCACACTTTAACAGTAAGGTGTTTTGGCTATAAAACCTCTATTTTAGGGCTAGGGATTTAGCTCAGCAGTTTGGTGGCCTGCCTCGCAAGCGCAAAGACCTGAGTTCAATCCCCGGTACCAAAAAAACAAACAAACAAACAAACAAAAACTCAATTTTAAAAACTCGACCAAAAGAAGAAAACTAGAAAAACAACCACAGGGATATTTTATGTATTAATTATTTAAAAGGAAGATTTACCAAATATGAATTAAAAATATTATCATATAATTTTAAGGCAAATGGAAGAGAGAGAGAGAGGGAGAGAAAGACCATTTCATATCCCAAGTTAAAGGGACAGAAGTGGAAGACTTGAAAGCTTTGGGTCAGCAATGACTGAAATTCTCTCCATAGTGACCAGGACAGGGGGGTCTGTGGACATTTACTTGATTTTCTTCCTCTATTTGCTCGTACAAACTTGAGGCACAGGTATCTACACTATTAAAATTACTATTGCACCAATTAAAATGCAATAATAATTCATAAAAATGTAAGAAAAAACAGTGCACTTAAAAAATAATTGCATGTTTTTCCTGTTTGCTAATTTTAAGATGCGTCCCTGTTCTCTTCTTTTCTCTAAATTTCACTCTCACAGATGAACACTTATTACGATGACTTCAACTAAAATACAGACTAATTCTCACTTTATTTCCTCAAACAGAATTCAGCATCTTTTCCCTGAAACTGCCTCACCACACAGCTTTCCCATTCCATCTGCTTCATTGGCAATTCCCCCCTGTCCAATTCAGCCATGGGTTACCACAAATTGGTACACGAAGCATCTTTTGAAATCATCCGGTGATCTTCCTTTCCCTTTACATAACCCTGAATAATTAATTATTCTGTGTGTCTTGAGAAGATCAGGAAGATACGCTGCCATTTTTCTCTACCGTATCCTTTCCCACGCTATCTCACATTGCTCCGGAGAGGGGTGATTTTGACAAATGTACTCATTCCTCTTATCAACTAGTGAAGAGCCCACGACACAGCCTTAGATCAGCCCCATCCAGTTAGACCCCTACACCTGACTCTTATGTTTGTCCCACTACGCTGTCACCTCAGAGATAGGGGATGTGGCATGCCATGGCCTCCTTGAATTTCTTTACATCTCCTCATCTCCTCATTTTTACTCTTTCTTTTTGTCTAAATTACTCAAAAATCTGCCTAATCCCAAGAGCCTTTCATGGAATTCTGAATTTAACAAGGGAAAATGTAAAGTGCAGAATTGAGATCAACAAGTGGCAACTCCAGAATGTTAACCTTATGTTAACAGGGATCTATGTGACTCGTTAGAACTGATCCAGGAGAACGGAGGATCACCACGTATGACAAAAGGGGGAGAACTGATTTGGTTCAGGTGAAACGTACAGAGGCAAAATTCTGCTTCACACAAGAAAAAAGTGTATTATTGCTGCCCAGTATGTCAAAAATTGCCCGAAAGAGAACTGGGAAAACTGGAGCGGGGTGAACTCCCACCGGGGCGATGTCGTGTGGCCAGAAAGAGGGAGAATGGGAGGACTTCAGGGAAAGGCGCCGCTCCTGGACTCTCACCCTGCTTTATGCAGAGATGCTTAGGTAATCTCTTTCTTAAAAAAAGATTGATGGGGACATCAATATTTATCTGGTTGAATTAAATGTTGTGCTGCCTGAAGAAATGTTAAATCAGTGGCAGAATAGGAAAAATTGTCCTGGGCAGTATGAAAAGACTTTGGTATCCTTTCTTTCTCAGGTTTAGGATCTCACTGATTGCTCCATGTCTCTGATGAGGGACATTTTTCTGTTTTATACTATGATTACAAGAATTATGTGAGAAATTCACATCAAAGACTACTTGAAAATGGCAACTTTAATAATTTTAATAAATTGCTTTTCATTTAATATCCAGTAATTCTCAATAATAACTCTCCTCTTTGGAAGCCATCTTTGCTCTCTCTTAATCTAAAATCGTTTTCTCCTCGATACAAGTAGGGACCCTTGGTTATTTACTGTCTCCTGGTCCTCTTTTAACTTCTGCATGTGTAATAAAATTTACTCCACTACTGGATTTTGTATTTCTCCAAAGACTGAAGGATTTTGTTTTTTTATTTGTGTGTTTTGCATCACTATTGGATGGTATATATGCAATACACACTCAGCTGACAAACTGCATGATGCAAACGACCAAACAGGAAGAAATTATCATCATCAATGTTGTAGGTGACAGTGGTAAAGGGTATTTTATTTGTAATAGAATTGGAGAAGAGCCTGGAAATCAAATATATAGAGTTCTTGAAAACATATAGTACTTTAACACATCTTACTCAATACTCAACAACTCTAATAAATTCTTGAAATATGCTTTATTATAAGAACACAGTTTGCTGAATTCTTTCTACAGGAGAAGAAATGGAAAGCTGTATCATTGCAAAGAAGATAATTGTTTGCCTTTCCATAGCCCATTCTCAAAGGCTTCAGAAGTCTCAGGAAAGAAATTTAAAACTAGATCTTAAAATTCAACAGCTTTAGACAAATTTCTATAAACAGGAAAAATGAAAAATCATTACAACTGTATTCGAATTCCTGCAAGACTATTTGTTCAACCTAATGGAAAAGTGGTCATTGTTGGCTCCATTTCTATGTCATCACTTTTTTCACTATGTTCCTAGATAACCTTGTAATTTCAAAGTTATTTCTCTTTAGTAGAAATCTTTCTCTCTTTTAAACTGGGGTTACACAGCAGATATGCTTAAAGGAGATACGGATTTGCCATTTAAATACCTATTTGACATGTTAGGAGACATATAGGATGTCAAGCCATAAACTGAGGTATATCTTGGACATTAATAATTACTAATATAAAAAATCTCAGGTTTCAACATCAATTGTAGGTATTTGTCAAAACTGAAATAATTGAAAAGATATTTTTCAGTTAATGTTTCTCTCATTGAAAATATATCACAAGTGTCAGAGAAAATCTAATCAATATTTAATGCTTTATAAATGGAATAAATCCAATTTTTATTTCAGAGGAGAAAAGTAACATATTAAATATATGTTGATGATACTTTAAAATATATAGATTTTCATTCTGGGGAGGGAATACCTATTCAAATATTTTATTTTATTGTGTTACATATTTTATAATAACTGATAAATAAGGCTATTGTTAAAGAGCATGTTAATCCTAATATTAATAGTTAACTGTGTGCTAAGGCCTATGACCTGTTATATTACTTGTGAAAGTAATTACTGTACATTAAATGTTAACAAAGTAATACAAGTTAACATTAAAATTCATTGATATTAATAATACACATCATCATCGATTTAAAGATTGTTAAGTAGTGACCCTTATTATTTGTCCAGAAAAGCTACTCTGCGTGCTGTACTTGTACTCATATACTTGTATTATAAATTTATTGATTTAATAATATTATAGTACTATTTAAAAGGCTTTAAATTTTATGAGGCAAGGTAATTATCTCCTTATCCTTCTGTATATTTTTATATATTTACATAAGAAGGTATTTAATCCAACATGGATAGCCCGGGAGGTCATTGTCCCCGGGCTCTGTACAGGTGGTCTAGGGGAGCACAAGGCTCTACCCCATGATGTACAGTCCCTTCCCACAGTGTTGGAGGAGAAGCTGGGCCTTGTGTCCGTGCCTGCATATTCCTACAACTTCTCAGAGTCCTTTGGGCAATGACTGAGGAGATAAACCATGCAGGAAACAATGTCAAGAAAAATAATAATAATAAAAGAAAGAAAGCATTTAAGATGGAAGAGTAACCAGGATGTATCACTATGATTGGCCTTAAACTACCAAAATAGCACACACACACGCACACACACACACACACGCACACACACACACACGCACCTTTCTCTCTGAAAGAAAACAGAATTGAGAGCCAGAAAGGTTAAGCACTTAGCCCAGTTCATAGGATTGTTGCCATTGGCCTTCTAGCTGCCATCTTGGGGGTCTGTAAGAAGCTCTCAGCCCTTGACAACAGTGACCCAGCCTCAAGCTAGTGAGTCCTGAAATGCCTGTGGGAAAGATACAGGATGCTGCTGGGATAGCATGCTTTTCCAGGTGGCTCTACTGAGTACTTTCCCAAGGATCTCACACTGCCCTCCCACAGCTTGGTCTCCAAGGGCCCTTAGCTGGAACTCACTGTGATGGTGTAGGGCCAACTTTGCAGCCTTTCCAGGAGAAGTAGCCCCTCACGGCACCGCACCAGCAAGGTGGCCAGTCAACCCGTTTGTCATTCACGAGATTCCCAGATCCAAGAGGTTGGGAAGTCGCAAGGAAAGTTCCCTCATTAGGCAGAAGCGAAACGAGCAGCAGACGTCTTCACAGAAATCACTTCACAAATTCTTTCTCAGTTTTCATTCCTCCATATTTTTAAAGAAGGAATGAGTGTTAAGATCGGGGTCCAGACATCTCATGTGTGTGTGTGTGTGTGTGTGTGTGTGTGTGTGTGTGTGTGTGTTTCCTAGAGGTGCACTGCAAAATTATAAAAATAAACATCCGTAAGCAGACATGGGTATCTATTTAACCGCATACATGCAAGGTATCATTATCAGAAGTGTCTGGATTGGAAAATGCATTTTGATAGACCATTTTAACAGTACTCCCAGATCATCCTCCAACATGGCAATCATAATTTATATCCTGATCAGCAGTGTCCCATTTCATCGTATCAAAACCCAAACCCGATATTACCAAAATGTTTTGTGTGTATTTTAAAACTGAAAGTGTGATTAACCATCCCCCGTTTCACTTCGGAGTTCTCTGAATGCTACTGAGGATGAACATATTTCTATAAACCACTTGGTCTTATGCGTTTCTTTGTTTTACCATGTTGTAATAAGAGCAGGGCAGTTTCACGTTTCCCTTAGGCTGCATCAAAACTTTGCACCGAAGTTTAGTCTGTAGGTTTTTTTTTCTCGCATTGTGACCCCACTGACATCCGCAGAGGCAACACTTTCCCAATAAACACACCCCAGAGTAGTTAAGTGCCCTACAATGTTGTTTAAGTGGAAAATAGATCCAATAAAAATGCAAAGGACTCCTACCACCTTGAGAGTTTCTGGGACCATGGCCTGCTACTCAAAAGACAAATTGCTATCTGTTTTTCCCTTAACGCTAAGAAACACGCACGCTATTTGACAGCATTCTTTGAATTTTAGAGAAAGTCCATATTTTAGATATTTTTAGCTAATCCATTTCTAAGTAAAATAGGCAAAGTCACAGCCTTGTGTGAAACCCACAACAAAAAACATAAATAAGGTATTTTCAGCTCTTTAGGCTTTCCTCGCAGCAGCTCTGAACATGGCTGTATTTTGGATTACTGGAACCTAAAGTCATGAGGCAATCACAAAAACTGCCTTCAGCTTTATTCAAGTCAGACTTTTTCTTCATTTCTGAACTACAAGCCTACCTGTAATGGATGTCAGTTTTTTTCTCCAGTCATTTTAGTCCTTGTTCATAGAAAGGGTGGCCAGGCTAGCAAAGATGAAGATGAACTAATGAGCCAAAAGCATATACTTCCCTTCACTGAAGTTCCTGGATAAAATAATTTTAAGTATCCACCTTGTTGGCAGTGGTGGAGTAAGCTGGGCTGCACCACAGCAGTACACTCTGGAGGAGCAATTGTATGATTAATGACAGATGAAGCACTGGACTCCTTAGGTCCTGGAAGCGACAGTAGTGTGATATTTGGAATGGGTTTCTCTATTGTGCCTCTGTAGGGATTTATTCAATGTCTTATTCTCAGACATGCATCCCTTGCCTGAATGAGGTTCTTATTTGATATAAAATGAATGAAAGCAATGGGATAACCATAATAGAGTCTGCTGTTCTTAAGAAGTTTCCTCCAGTCCAGATGTAATTAACTCTATTGAAAGAAAAATGGTCAAAAGAAGTTTCAGTTAAGGTCCCAACTGTTGGGAAATAATCAGTGAAGTTAGGATGCTGTATCAGAAAGAGCAACAAATATATGGCACTATTTTTCCCAGAGCTGATATGTATATAAAGTGTGGTAAAAAATATGGTGAATATTTAAACCAAAAAAAATTACAATAAGGTTCATAGTGTTTTAAATCCCCCTCAAGATACTACCCCTTTACTGCTAACGCACTGTCCTTTTCACTTGATGAAGACATTATAGGAGTCCTCTTTTCTGGGTGTCCTTTTGTGTCTCCCTTGAGATTCCGAATTTACTCTAAACATTTACAGAAAGTTCTGTGAAGTAAAAATAAGTATATGTCCTCATATGCTTTATCCACCAAATTTGCACTGTGCAACTTCTGACTGTTCTTTTTTTTCCTCATTGAGTTTATTGGTACATTCTAGGTATACAGTACAGTTACATTCATCATTGGGATCCTGTACCTTTACATGACAGGTCTTGGTTCTCATTTTTTCCCCAAACCCCTGCCCTCCTATTCTTGAAAGTTAAAATTACAGTGAAATGTAAATATTTAATTGATTCAGAACACAACATGGCAACTATAGATGCTCACAAAAGAGCATTTCCAGTTCAGAAAGTGGCAAGAAAGATGACATACATGTATTTGACATGAGAGAGGATTCTGAGGGGGATGAATGACACTGTGTCTTTTACTGTGTTAACCTTTGCAAATATTTAAACATTTACTGTATTTGATCATACTGACTATTTCTGGGAATCAAGTTAGAGTAAGGAATTTTACCTAACGATGCACTTGAAAGTTCTGAGTTGCCTATACCCATGGCTTTGGAAATTCTGCTTTATAGGTTTAATTTCTCAAGTGATGGATATTTCCACTAAAAGACAACATTTCCGCTGATTTGGAAGCTGGGGTGTCAACAGGCTGCTCTAGATTTCTCATGCCAATAAATCAGAAAGGGGAGATTTATTCAGCTACCACCAAATGGAGATGCTGCTGCAGAACAGGGCTGTCTCCTTGTATGTCATGAGTGTTATGAAAGCAGATCCATAAGCTCATACCAACAGAAAATAAAGGTTTTGGGTATCTCTCTTAGATAAAGGAGACTGAAGAACCGACATTCTAGATGAATGCAAGAATAAAATTGAACACACAGTGAAAGAACAAAGTTACAACTACAGCTTTGTAACCAATGACAGAAACTAGGACTGTGCTAGCTTTTCTATCTTGTTCAGTTATGTCTGTATGTGTTCACGTATACTATATTATAACTATAATATATATACTATACTATAATATAGTATATAATATAGTATATATACATTATATACTATATCTATATTATTTCCCCCTCCCCTTCCCTTATATGAGGCCTGTTGGTTGTAGATAACATAATGAATATTTATGGGTATATCCGTTTGGAGTGTAGCTGAGTTAGAGGAGAAATAAACATCACTGAGAGATGGAATGCAGTCATCAGGGAGACTTTGGGGAAGGAGCTGAACATATTTTCCTTTGTAAAAGGAACAGATTAGTTTCTATAATATATTATTTATATTGATAGTGACGTACTGAAATGGAACATAAGTTTTTAAATATTGAATGTTCTGTGCAGAAAGCTGATCATGTCAAATATGATAGACTGTGTTATTCCATTCCGCTCATCTCTGGCATGTCTTTTGCAGATCAGAGGCCAAAAGGATGAAGAGTACATGTCTGACTCTCTTGTTTTTAGTATATGTGTGTGATACATAATAATTACATTCATTCTAGGGAACTGGTACATATGCACATTGCATCTCAATCATTTTTATTTCCCTTCCCTTCCTCACCTTCCTGTCTCCTCCCATTCCTTTGCATCTAGAGTTGCATACGTGGTTTTGATTTGTTAAGGCAAATGCAACGGTATGTATCTTGGAAAGGATATAAACACAACTGCATGCAACAAAGGGATGTGATTGCATGCTGAGGTAGACACAAACTAGCCTGGAGGTGTTTACTTAGTTTACTTATTTTTATCAGCAAGAGCACACTTTCTGGCTTTATTTATATATATTTTTAACAGAGGCTAAGTATAGGAAAATATTGAAAAAATATTTATTGAGAGAAAATAGCTTTTGTCTAAGAGAGACAGAAGGGGGACCAGAAAATGGGTTCCCCCACTGGCTTTAATGGTGCTGAGAAGTAAGTTACTGGCAGAGGTGAGGAACAGGTATTGGAGCTGTTCCCTGATGCTACCGGACAGTTCTCCCTGCTGTTACTTCTGGTTATACGAAGCACCCAACCTTGCTTCCTTGACTCTCTCAGGAATTCTGCGCTCTCCCTGGTACCAATAATAGACCTTTTTATCTACTTTTAATTTGATTTATGTATGTATGTATGTATGTATGTATGTACTGGGGATCCAACTTGGGACCTTGCGACTGCAAAACAGGCGGCGGAACCACTGAGCTAAATCCCTGGCCCTTTTTATCTACTTTAAACTAGCTGTTTTAGACCCTTGCTTGTAGCCAAGATGGACTCATTTACTAATTTACTAAAAAATTCACTTACATGTGTAATTACTGCTTTGGCCAAATTTCCTGCTATATTTTGATTTTTAGTATATTCATTCTCTTTATAAATGGCATTCCGTTTCTTAGCTTGATCCTCTCTTTAGCAAAAGAATATATGTTTTTCTTTTGACAATTCTCATTTGCCAGTTTCTAATCTAATGAATGCAATTTTAGTAAATGTAGTCTCTCTGAAATAAGTGGAAGAAAATTGATTTAATCCAGATTCATCTGGCCTCACAGTGTAGTC